TGATCACATCTAGAGAGTTTAGATTTAGAAAGTCTAAGATAGTTAATATTATACAGTAATAGCTTAATGAACCTACTCCCTTGTAGTAAGATAGTTAGTAAATAGCTAAATCATGTGAGCAACATGGTGATCTTGATATTCAGAATTTAAGAATCATGTATAAATCTAAATTTATTGACGGTGTTCTGCAAAATTGTGCTAGTTTAGCTTTAGTATAATATCATGTATATTGTATTACTGTTATCTAAAAATTGGATTAATAAATGTTTTCATTTGTAGTCTGATTAGAGACAAAAAAAAAAAAGATATTCTAATTAAGTTAATGACTATTTAACTATTTGAGCAAGTTATTCAAATAAAATTTAAGATAAAATACATTCTATTTGCTATACATTAAAACATATTTAAAAAGCAAACATGTCAATCCTAATCATGACTTGAAAGTTAACCTATATATAGTGATTGCAGTATCTTTATATAATTAGGTAATCAAAATTTTCTAAATAGTTAAATACTATTCAAAATATAATATAAATTTTGAATTTTTTTTTTTTATATTCTTAGAAATTTATATAAGTGAACCACTTTTGTGAACCTGGCATTAAACTTTTTTTAACAAAGAAAAATATATATTGCATTATGATTTATAAATTTTGTAACCACAAGTCTAAAAGTATAAACAAAAATAATGCATGAGAACCACCTGTTTCTTCAAAAAAAAAAGATGTTGCAATTATATTATACAGATTGATCTCCAAGTCATATAAGCCAATTATTTTATTTTATTAATTTAGCTTATTTAAATTAAATTATTTCTATAATGATCGACATCACAGGGTATTATATAAGCGTGACTCGCAAGTTGTTTGATCTTCGCGTCTTTTTTTTTTGAGTTTTTGTACATACAATGTCTAACCTTTGCCACTTAGATACTGAACGAGAGTCGAAAGCAGTCAAACAAGAAAACGAGGGTTGCACTAGCGAGACAACACCTGTGGTAAATGTGAAAACTGATGGTTCCGACCAAGAGAACTTAACTGTCGAAGAAACTAAGGCTGACGAAATCTCTAATACGCATGAGGTGAAACGCGAGCTGACAAATAGTGAAAAAACCTCAGAAACCAACTGTTCGAGAGAAGAACACGAAAAAATGCATACTTCTAGACTTGGTAACGTTGCAAAACTCGTCGGAGCTCACGTTAGCGCTACCGGAGGAGTTCACAACGCCATTGCTAATAGCTTATCTATCGGGTGAGTTTCGCGTGTCAAGGATTTTAGCACGTGATCATAAGGAATGATAGTATTGCTCCTTTTCAAGACAAGGCATCATAGTCTATATTTTGAAAGATCACTGCCAGCCTACATTTAGACTGTCACCTCAAACAAACCTGTGATTCTAAAAGATAAAAAATTTTTATTTTTTAAGAAAAAACAAAGACAGGGATAATAAAGGTAGTTGAAAAGTTTGTTCTGGTAAATAAAAACCCTCCAATATCAACTTTGATCTATTGAAATAAATCCTTTATCACTACCTGCAGCCAGGCAAACCATTTAATTTTTACTATTCTCTTGCTAACCAAGAATGTTCAAAGTACTTAATACAAGACTTATATGTTGCTTGAAACAAGTTTTACACCCATTGGGAATTATTGCTTGAGACAAGACTTACACCCATTGGAAATTATTGCTTGAGACAATACTTACATTAATACTTGCTGCCTTCTTGAGATAATCAACAAAAGAGTAAGCTTCTTACTGAATTGGGATGAGACTTCTTTTGATCTTGAAGAGAAAAGAAACCAGTCCAAAAGGGAAAGGGAAACACCATAACACTTCTTTAACAAAAAGAGCACCTCATTGCCTTGCTCTTTTCAATATATCCAATTGCATCATCGGGTTTTGTGTTGTATAAAATAGGGCATGTGGGAGTTACGTGTCTTGTTTACATTTCTTGCTACATGTAAATCAGCCAGTCCTAAATTCGAGCCAATTATCATTCAAGAATTCCAGTGTAACCAAAAATTCAAGGTCAAACTGAGGTAGGCAAAATTCTTCAAAAAATCGGGAAAAAGTTTACATGCTTGAAAAGATAGAAGGAAGCTTGAGGAAGATGAAAGAAGAGTTCCAAAAACTGTGCCAGTCTTTTTTAGAGTCTTGAATCTCTGGAAGAAAAGAGAAGGATGTTTTTTCTACAGGTTCTTTTTCCCAACAAAGTTTTCTTGCCTTTAACTTTATAGGTTGATATTTCTTATATTTACTTGTAGAAATACAAGAAATTTATGTTAAAGAAAAAAAGAAACAAGTGGTGGGACTATAGTCTCTTGATGTAAGTGTTGTTAATAAAAGTGTATAGACTTTATTACAAAGAAATATAAAAATTTCCTTGGAACATCTGTTTTTTGTATTGGCAAAAGGATCAGCAAAAAGAGTTTATTTTAACTTAACTAGAATATCTAAGAATAGGTTCCTAAATTATTTAATATATAAAATTTTATAGATCAATTATGTTTCTTTTAAAGAAATATAATTATTTATTTATTATTTGAATAAAAATATTATTTAAAAAACATTTGAATTAAGTGATCTAAATTGTAAAAAACCTTTGTAAGTAGTTTTTTTTTTATCTTATATTAAAAAAAAAACTTTTTTAATAATAATAAATATTTGAATTATATTCTTATCTTTAATTTAGAAATTTATCTTTAAAAATATCATTAATAGAGATTGTTTTTTTATTCGACTATCTAGTATTTGATTTTCTTTATTTTTTTAAAATTGTAGTAAGTTACAAATTATTTAAACCTGTAACTAAAGATCACAATGGTTTGGTTTGAATCAGTTTTAACCAAAACCAAAACTGATCTGATTTATTTTTTTTAAACCGATCTAATCTGAAAACTGATTGGTTTTAATTTTTTGTAAACCAATCCAATCTGAAAACTGATCAGTTTTAATTTTTTGCAAACCGATCTGATCTGAAACTCAATTTATATAAATATAATTTTATTAAATTGTTTTATTTCAATAAATATAGTTAAAAACTGTTTAATTTAATTTTTTTAAATTTATATTTACAGTAGCTTACAAAAATAACCAATCACTTGAATAAATATAAATAATTATAATATTTTTTAATAAATAATTTATAAAAAAATCAAAAAAAAACTAAATTCAAATATTAAATTTAAAAATATTTTAATAAAATACTCTTTCTGAAACAAATCTGTGTCTGAACAAAATTACCAAAAAAGGAAACCAAAAATTTTTTCTTTAAAAAAAACAGTAAAGGACTTTGAAGAGTCTTCTTCATTCTCCAAGGGTCAACCCATTGAACCAACTCACACTCTACTTGATGTTCTCATCACCAATGTTGACAAATGCCTAGCATAATCTTTTATAAAAACAACAGCACCAATATTGTATATACTACCCCACCCATTGCCAACATTTGCTCCCAAAATTCAAAAATCCTTTTAAAGCATAGTTGATACCAGTATGCTTTCAAGAAAATGGCTACGAAGTTCTTAAAGTAATCTCAGTCTTCTTCGAAATACATAAAAAAAGACTCGAAAATCACTACATTGAAGTCAAAACCAATATCTTAAACCCTATGTCGCTAGAAACAATAAACACCTTTTTTGAATATCGACATATCTTTAACCTATCTGACAATGATAAAAAAGGAATTATGAAGGCACTAATCAAACAGAAACTTACTTATAGGCTTAATGTCTCTTGGAACAAAATTAATATTAATATTGATGAAGTAGCCAAAATCTTTTTCTTGGAGCGAAAAACTGAAATGCCCACACCCCCTCCAAACACTCCTGTCCTAATTGAGGAAAGGATCAATGATAATAGCATGCAGCTTGATTGTGAAATTGAAACAGCAAATGCAACTATCCCTGAGCACACTGACAATCATTCCAGCCCACATGCAGTAACTGAAGATCATGCAACCCCTTCTGAATACAACAATAATTACCATAGCATGCATGAAACCAACACAGCCCAAGCATCAATTGACAATACCACAGTGTCCAATACACCCCTGAGCACAAACATCCCAACACAACTAGCTCCAATATGAAAATTGATGAACACCCTTCCTCCACCCAATCAGTTGAAATCTTGGAATCTTTTCCCAACTCATGGGCAGACGAAACTAATAAGTTTCTCAAACCAATACAGGCCACAACACCTATCGTAAATAACATTAGAGATAACACACCTCCTGATGAACAGAAAAAAATTCTAGAACTATGTGAAGAATTTAACAAATGTGATAAGACTTCTAAAGCCATTGTTGATCTGTTTCTAAAAATCAAAGCTAACCTAACTGAATCCCCTAGAACAATCCTAAAAGGCATTTTCTCCAAGATTAAGCACAGGGACTGTGACTTCTTTAGAACATTTGCCAAAGATAAGCTGATCAAGAGACAATACCAGAAAGAATACGAGTCCATTGAGGAAAAATTTCATTCTAACTATTGCAAAGCTAACAACTTGGAATATATCACAAGATTAATTAAAAACAAAATCAAAAAACTAATCAACAAAGTGCTCTTCATCGCTTATCTCAGATCAACAAATCTCACTCTTCTCAAATACTGGCAAGTAGCTCAGCTGTTAGAATACGGTTTTAACTTCTTCGTGAACCCAACTTTGGAAAAAGTGGACTACCAGGAACTATACCAAACCTACGAAGCAATGATTCAAAAAAATCTACCTGAACTCCTTGAGGATCCAAAAGACATCTCCATAACAATAATCGTTAGACTACCTAAAGCCATTCCAATCATAAAAGCCAGTGACACTAGTGAAGTCACAAGTAGTCTCAGAGCCTTCTACAACTTTGATTTCTTACCTATCTCCTACTTCACAAAAAGACCTGACCTCCCAGCTGATCCAATCGATCTTAACAACAAAACAAACTATTTGTTCCCATTAATGGAAAGATACAAACTAGCAGATCTCAAATTTCGTGTTGATAAATTAAAAGAATTCTATTATGTCCCAAGCAAACTCCCTGACTCCTATTTTAACCTTCCTCCACCAAAACTCCACCTTTCACCTACATACAAGGATTTACCCCTATATCTTGCCAAATACTTTCCTGTGGACAATAGTATTGAGTATTTTAAGAAAGGAGTACAACTTCTCAGAGATAACAATTACACCATCAAGCACCTTCTACTTGACTATATCAAAATAAAACGTCCACTCCCTTCCTCTCATTGGTACAGTAAAAATAACTCAATCCCTCTACCGGTGACTACTCAGGAAGAGGCTGACGACTTGATCAAGGATCTTAAACAAAAATTCTTCATAAAGCTATCTATAGAACCTGAATGGATCAGTGATAACCTGGTTCAATCAAACAAATCCAAACTCCCTGACAATTTTAACATTGTTGAAACAGAACTCAATATCTCTAAAGAGCAAATGAACAGAGATGTACCTGATTTCAAACAAACTATTACAAAAATTAAAAACAAGTATATAGGAGAGATTCCGAGAGAATGGATTACCCCACTTCTCCCAGAGTTGCCAAACCTTGCCGATGCCAACAAACATCTTACTGAAACTAGTGCTGACTTCGCACTACCCTTCGTAGATAATCTTCATCTAAATAACAATATCAAAGCCTTAAATAAAATCTTCCACTTCAACAAACTTCCACCCGAATTCATAATTGAATCCGAGTCACCTGAATCAGAGATGACTCTTCTCCTCAAACTTATTTAATGATGACTGCAAACCAGCCCAACTCTCAACCTTTCTTAATTAGTCACCTAACAACACATATCACTTCCAACAATATTCTAAATACACCTTACCAACTACCATCCCCTCAACCCACTTCAAGAATGTTATCAAGAAACCTAATTACTATATCTACTCTCAATGTCCAAGGCCTCTCGGGCAAGCGTAGTAAACTTATCAAAGTAATTACAAATGACAGAAGTATTCTCTGCTGTTCTGAAACAAAAACATCCTCAGGAAACCCTCTTTCAAAAAAACTTAATAACTGTACAATTATCTCAAGCGTATCTTTAGTTAGTACAAGTAATGGGACCTGTATTATCACCACTAAGTCTATCAGCAACCACATCTTTAATACATTCGCTCAAAACAAATTCTGATGTGCCATCCATCTCAAATTCAAGGCAAAAGTTGATATTATAATAATCTCCTGTTACTTGCTACATGAAAGATTAGCAAGAAAACATACAGTTACTTCCTTAAAAAATT